TGGTGTGTGGGTATGTGTGTGTGTGTGTGTGTGTGGTGTGTGTGTGTGTGTGTGTGTGTGTGTGTGTGTGTGTGTGTGGTGTGTGTGTGTGTGTGTGTGTGTATGTGTGTGTGTGTGTGTGTGTGTGTGTGTGTGTGTGTGTGTGTGTGTGTGGTGTGTGTGTGTGGTGTGTGTGTGTGTGCACGTTGATACAACTGAATTACCTACTCCAAAGGTATGAAACGAGTAAGGATGGATACAAAGTTGCTTGGTAACTACCGGTATCATAACACCATCAGTTATGGACATCTGTAGGTAGGGACAACTTCCCTATCTTTTGAGAATAAGTATAGCGCTCGTGGCGTTAAATGAGATCAACATTTAAAAATGTTTCGCTATCACTCCAGTTTTTGGACCCTTTGACCCCTGGTGAAAATACTACTGTCTGATCAAAGTGAGTCTATATATCAGTTCAGTAGCGTTTTGAGATACCCCGAGTTTAATTGTGGAGAACGCGAGTGGCCTGACGTTTAAGGCCGCTAGCCCCGAGTACGGCGTTGGGTCTCCCATGTAGGACCGGCACCGCAGATTCCTGAGCGGGCGGCGGGCACACTGTAGCCATTGTTCTCTAGGTCCAGACAGCCTGTATGCTCGCCGACAGGGACGTCCGCGCATGCTGAGCACATCGTGATCTGCCGGGCGCAATGGTGTCTGGCGCAAGGGGCAGGCGGCGCGCGCGGAATTCCTGAAACGGCGCGGGCGGGCGCCGGATTCGACGACGGTGCTGCGGCGCTGGGGCGGCGCGGGATAAGCAGATGCGGGCGCGCGCGAGCTGTCTGGCACCCGTCACCCGGCAGATAACGCGGCACGGGTGCAGGGTCTCAGCTGCTCATGGGTGTGACCAACTGGAGTCCTTCCAGCTATAAAGTTGTAAATCACCAACACAGGTGGGGAGATAGGAGTACACATGTGTGGAGCCAGTGTATTCCATGGATAGGAACAGAACGTGGCTTTAATGAAGTAAATAAAAAAGCGCTTTTCTTTGCTGAAAAGTCACGAAAAGTCTCAGAGACACGCGGTTAAATGCATACTATCTCCCCCTTACTTACATCTGCAAGTTAATGGAAAGGATAACTGCTCATTCTCCCCGTGACACCATTGGTTTTAATACGCATGAGTTCCTGGCTTCTTATGGTGACGCCTCTCCGCCGTGGGACTGGGCGGTCCCGCATACGGTGACCAGCTGACCCCTTGCGCCCGCGGGTCGGGGCACCCTACACGTGTGCGCTGATGATTGTCTGTGACGAACCCCCTCTGTGCGGAGCGCGAAAGCATGCTGCTCTATAGGATGGCGTGTCGTTCAATCTGGCTCCTGTACGCAATATACACCTGTTATAAACAGCGTATTCTTACCTTTGCATGATACTGCATAAATGTATCGGCATGATTTTGTTGCTCATTATGTTATAGTTCTTGCTGTCAATGAATCGTCAGCCGACATGCATACCTTACAACTGATTTTGGTACATAAATCTGTTGGCCACGCGTCTGATTACGAAAACAAAAAATGCTTCAGTTTTTCATCAGTCACATGCATTGCCAACCAAACGCACGTGCTGAAAGTGAAGTTAGATAAAATACGAGATTCTGAAGTCTCCAGTCTCCAGAAAACGTCATTATGTGGAACAAGACCCGAAGCGTCAGCTAATATTTTTTCCGGGATATTCACCGCTGTTTGGGGAGCACCTGCGGAGGCAGGCGGCGTGTCTAAAGGACAGCAGATAAAGAAAGCACTGCCAATGATCAATGCGTACTTTTTAACGCGCTGGCGCGTTCCTGTTAGCTATATGGTTTTTGTCGCTGTTCTGGCTTCACGGTTGATATGGGTATCAAAAAGCACGTAAACTTCAGCAAATGATATCGAGAACAACAAGCGTAAAATAAATATGTCCTTTCCCGTCCAACAATGCCGTGGCTCGAGGCGCACACCGACAGAAGGTTTCATGACGCAAGCTGTAGGAGCGACAATGGAGTTATTAAGCTGGATGAAGGCATAAGCAGGCCTGATCGGGACCCGGAGCTGAGATAGCACGGAGGCACTGGTGGCTGGCTCCAGGCAGCACGGAGTTACGGGCGACTGGCGCCATGCAGAACGGCACATTTCACCGGATCGAGAGCAGGGCGCTAGAGACACGACTGTCCCGCAGCTGACACCTTGGGCTGCGCTACGCTGCATCCAGGAGCCGAATCGTCGCACGGCAGAGCTGGAGACTTCCAGGCATCTGGCAGCGGGCACGTATGGGCTGTGGCTGTTCGAGTTATGTAAATCACTCCCTTTCCTGATCGAAGGCCACTCTTATGATAAGTGTACGCAGTCCCTCACTATAAACAAACTCCGCCACTGACTGCTGATCCCCACCATGTCGAGCCGGAGCGGAGTGTGCAGAGGGCAGGCATCACGACAGGTGCGTCTGGGCGCCGCAGGGCGGGACAAGTCCGTCCCATTATCTGCACTCACGTTTGCCTGCGGTGGCTGTGCTGGAGGCGGCCAGCAGCAGCACCAGCAGCGGCACCAGCAACGTCACGATCCTCATGGTGTCCGTTCGGCTCTTGGCCACGAGGTCCTGGCGTGGTGCAGTCTCGCGGCACAGTCACGGTCAACGGTGCTCCCGGAGGCCGGGTCCCGGGGGCACGTCCACGGTCCTCGCCGCGGCCGCGCCGTCTGCCGCCGCGTCTCCGGAGCGGCGCGTGTCACCGTGCCCGCGCGGCGAAGCCTGGTCACCACACCCGTGCCGCTGCAGCGCGACCGCCGCCTCGTCCCGAGCGCCGCGTGTCGCGTCTGACAGCTCCACCCGGCTCGTGCGGCCGGAGACTCCTTCCCTGCCGCGACTGGACAGACTGTGGCGCCGCCGCCGCCTGTGCGGCCGGCGCGCAACCGGGGCAGCTCCAAGGTCGCCCGCGCGCTCTGCGAAGCCCCTCCACGCTGATGCAGCGGCCGGGGGACTGAGGCCAGGTGTGTGCTATCGTGTGCGGGGCAGACTCGCCCCACATGCCGTGTACGCGGTCTCGCTCCCCAGTTCGGTAGTACCGCACGTCCCCAATTTACAGCTGGAATCGGGTTGGAGGATTACGGCGCTCGTAACTCAGTGGCTACGTGGGGCAATACCAACCCACCGGCCGCACGCTGTCATCACAGTGGTGTGTCAAGAGCTCACAGATCAACCCACGCACATGTGGCGCGTTTGGCTCGGTGCCAAACGACAGCTGACACACCTGGGATGACAAGTGTGGTCCCCGCCCGTCCGTGACATGTCCGGTTGGTGTTCGCCGTCTGTACTGTGAAGGCACTGGTTGGCGGCTGTACGACCCCCGCCTGACCCGCACGGGCCGGTGGTTGTCCACTCCTTTTCGTCACCGTCATCCCTTCATCACGCCGACTGTCGGCAGGCGTGATGCAGCTCTCGAGACCGTCTCCTGTTTGAAACGGTTCATATCTTGCGGTGTTTCTAGTGAAAAATTGTAGGTCATGTGTGGCGTTACCCCTTTCGGTTACATCCGCCTGCGTAGGGTTTTCCAACTTGGGAAGTTGTTTGACGTAAGAAAATGAGCTTCAGCCACCTGGACAGGAACATTCATTCATTGTTATCTGTAAGGCTCCAGTTTTGAAACATTTTGCGCGGCGAGCTGTTCCAACAACCACGGCCTATGCCGCTCAATAGAGCGGCAATGGATGTCAGCACGCACAAATTTAAGCAAAATACTCTCTTTTATTGCAGATCACAAATTGTTACAGTCTGCACCATCCCACGACCAAACAAAGTGCGCGGACGAAGCGATATCTTCTTTGAGAACTGGCTACAGCATGCGGCGGGCCGGGTCAGCCATTCAGAACACTCCGCGACGCACGGGAGCAATCGCAAACAAATAACGCAGGCGTCAAGCTACGGAAATACCAAATATACGATAATTGCACGGCACCGATCACGCGTGAGCAGATCTCGATCCCCGAGTGTGAGCGGAAGGCCGCAGCGGGAGCAGGCGTGCAACGCTCGACAGTCTGAGGACATAAGACGCCCGACCCTCCGGATTAGTGCTGCCGCCGCCGCCCGCCGCCGGGCAGCGGCCAGCGAGCAGTGCGCGCCCGGCAGCCGGCCCTCCCTGCAACGGCCGTCGTGCCGCGTCCCTTCCGCCCCTCCTAGCTAGCAACAGCACCTCTAGCAAGTCACTCCGTCAAAATAGCAACAATTAGGCCAGCCATCCGCCCTGTGCCGCGCGATCGTCGCAATCGTCGCCGCCCGCCCGCGGAGTCCCGCGAAGCTTGATCAGCCGGCGCGCGGCGGAAGCAGCCGGCAGCGGGCGGCCAGCGACGCCACCCACCGCGCAGCACGCCGCAGCGCCGCACAGACCGACACCATACCCCGGGGTCGACCGTGCCGGGACAGTCCGCGTCGCCCGTCTGAGGACAGTGGCGCGGCTCAGCCCTCCTGGCGGCGCCGACTCGCGGGCCCGCGCGGCGACGCGCCCCGGCCCCGCCAACGAGATGTGCGGCGTTATGTGGAGACGGAAAGGCAGGTACAAGTGGACCCGGCCGCAGAGACGGAGCGCGAGCCGGACGGAGACGGAGCGGTGTGGCCGGCACTGCCGACCGTCTGCCCAGTGTCGGGCGGGGCAGGTGACCCCCGCCGCCCACGGCGAGTGGCGCGGGCCGCGTCCAGCCTGGGCGGCGCGCCACACTTCAGAGCTTCAGAAGGTGAAGAGCAGCCGGTCGGTGGCGACGGCGTGCTCCTGTGCGATGGCGGCCAGCTCCAGAAGCCACTGCTCCAGCAGCACGGCCGCCATGGCCAGGCGGCGGCCGGCGCCGTCTTCGGGCGCCGCCGCCGGCGCCGGCCGGCTCGGCCGCGGCGTGTACCTGCGGCCCGGCCCGACCACGGTCAGCAGTCAGGTCAGGTCAGGTCGGCTCCTGCGGCCATCACAGGGTGCACAGCCCACATCCGCTCTAGTACTGTACGGCGCCATACAGGTCGTGTGGTTAGTTGGGGCACCTCGCCATGTGCATGACAACACAGCCGGCCCTCCTCACCGCAGAGGCAGACACTGACTGGCCGATTTCGGATGCACCAACACGACCGGGGCACAGGAAACAATACGCCAATCGAGTATGATTCAGAACAGCGAGCGACGACAGACCATATATCAGCAGAACATAGACGCCAGCCTGCACTAAGCGTTTGCCAAACACCGATCGTTTGCCGGCCCCGATCCGCGGGCCGGCGCGCGTCTGAGGGAGGGGGGGGGGGGGGGGGCAGAGATGCTGACCTGAACCCGGAGCCGTCCGCGGTGGGCTCCAGTGAGGTGGACGAGGGCCGATCCGAACCGACGCCGGCGCCGCCCAGCGACCGACGCAGCATCGAGGCCACCGAGTTCAGACTGAGCCGGCGCGGCTCGGCTGCCGGCGACACGCACGTTAGAGCCACAACTCCCGGCTGGAGCGCGACATAGGGGAAACAGCCAGAACGCGAGAGTCACACACTGGGTCGTCAGGTGTTCGGGGTCTCGGTGTACGGCGAGAGGTCGAAACGGGCCGGACCGCGGCGTCCGTTCGTGTCACGGATGCTGCGGTTTGGCCCGCCTGCCCGTCCACCCGCTGCCAGCCCTGACCGTCCGTCAGGCTCGCCCGCTGCCGGCCCTGGCCGTCTGTCAGGCCCGCCCGCCGCCAGCCCTGGCCGTCTGTCAGGCCCGCCCACCGCCAGCCCTGGCCGTCCGACTGCTCACCCTTGGAGGCGGCGCCGGTGGTGGATGTGGAGCCCAGACTGGCTGATGGCGAGGGCGGCTGCTCCTCGCGCGCCGCCAGCCGGCCGCGCGCCCAGCGCACTAGCTCCGGCCACGTGTGGCAGCGCCGCCGCCTCCGTGTCGATTCGGTGTTTCAGCGATCCCAGCGTCTGCCGGGACGCTTGCAGTCAGGGCGGTCACTTCAAGAAGCGATGACGGTCAGGGCGGTCACTTGTGGAAGTGCTTACAGCCAGGACAGGGTGACCACGTGACTTTGCTGACAGACCAGTATCAGGGCCAACAAAGGCCACCTGGGGGTCATGCCGACAGGCAACCATGATACTACCTGCCAGAACCGTGGTCATGACCGGGGAGCAAGAGGTATGGGGTTCGATTCCCCGTTGTGTTTGCCCTTCCTACCCGGATGAGACGCTGGCGGTGCCCCAGACAGCCTAAACAGCTGAGTGGGTCGGAAAGCCTCAATGACGACGACGACGGCCACGAGTGACGTCACCTGAAGAAGCCATGTCACACGGCGTGACACTGACAGGCGCAGTGTAATGAAACAAGCGCTGTCAGGCTGCTGTCGCCGTGGCAACGGCGGCTGGCCGTCGGGCGGTCCTCGCCACAACATGCTCCACGAGCGGTGATCAGTGCTCAGTTATGCCGCGCCGGAACGCGGACGGATATGCCGCGGCCTGCGCCGCTCGCGCCGCCGGCGGCCGGTGCGCGTGGGAGGCGCGTGGGTGGGCGGCCCGCGCGCCGGCGCCGGCGTCAGACACGCACCTGCACCAGCGAGCGCACGCTCGGCTGCAGCACTATCGAGTCGTCCAGCAGGAAGGAGCGCAGCAGGGGCTGTGGGTACTGGCTCAGGCGGCTGATGACCGTCATCAGCTGCAGGTTCAGCTGGAAGCCGTTCGTCGTCGCCTCCTCCAGCTGCTCCAGCAGCAGCCACAGGAACGGTCCTAGGATGGCGCGACAGCGTGGTGACACAGATGACAGAACACCACGGGCCACAGAAACGCCCCGCGCCATCGGTGAGCGGGACACCACGGCACGGGACAGTGGCCTCTGGCCGACGGCCCACGATGGCGGCGGGTCGGTACGGGCTGACAAAGCACAGCAGGACCTTGCTACGCGTCCACTGGCGAAGACGTATCAAACTTATGACGATGACTGAAGCTTAAGAGCGCGCCGACGTTTGAGATGTCAAGCTAGAGCAGCCTTATCGGCTCTACGCACAGTTTCGCAAACCTTACCGAGCAGTCACCAAGTAAGCTTTATTGGCACAACAGACATCACTGAATGCTGGCGCGAAGCTCAAGCATCGGCCTTTACGAAATGTCTTAAAATACCATTGTGGAGGGGAAGGGCCATAAGCCAAAATTGCCTCACGTACTACAACGTTCCCGACGGCCGTGTTTAGCGTCGACGGCCGCACCCAGCCACCGGCTGGGACCCATCGCGGGCCACTCACCCATGCTGGGTGTGACGCCGAACATGTCGGACGGACTCTGCGGCTGCTCGCGGGCCTCCTCCGGCTCGGGCAGCCGGTCGGCCGGCGCCGGCGGCGGCGGCGGCGGCGCTGGGGGCTGCCGCCGCTCCGGCGCCGTCGGCTCGCCGGCCGGCCGCGCGAGCTCGACCGGCGCGCCCAGGCTGAGCAGCGCCTCGTCCAGCCGGGCGCAACTGTCCTCCAGGCTGGGCAGCGCCGGCGGCGTGGCGGCGCGCTGCACCAGCGACCAGAACAGAGCATCATCCGGCTCGCCGGGCGGCGGCGACGGCGAGAGGCGCGGGTTGAAGCTCTGGTAGCCGCTGCTCTCGCCGATCGAGGCCGTCTCGTCGGCCGGCTCGCTGGCCGAACGGCCCGGCGCCGCGCCGCCACTCGCCGGCGGCGGCGACTCGCCGGCCGCGTGCAGCATGCGGAACGCGTCGGCCGGCGACGGCTGCACGCCGTCGTAGGCGTACGTCCAGCGCGCGCAGCCGCGCCGGCACGCCTGCACGCGCGCGCGCGCGTCCACCGTGTACTCGAAGTAGCCGCTGAGGTGCGACTGTAGCGTGAACTGCGCGGGCGGCGGCAGCGCGGGCTCGGCCGGGGCCGGGGCCGGAGCGGGAGCTGGCGGCGGCGCCGGAGGCACCGGCGGACGAGCCGGCGCGCAGCAGCCGGGCACCAGCGAGAGCAGCCGCTGCGCCGTGTCGGCGTACAGCTCGGGCTCGCGCACCTTGGGCCGCTGCGACACCATGACGTGCGTGCAGGGCAGCAGGTGGCGGAACACCAGCTCCAGCATGACATCCTCGCAGTTGAGGTCGAGCAACGTGTGCAGCAGCGAGAGCGTCACCACGCACAGCTGCCGGAGGAGCGAGCGGTGAGTCCAGCACAGCGTCGACAGACTGCGGACACACGCTGGACACGCACCTGCCGTTCCGAACTGTCCGCCGCGTCAGGCACCTTCACACAGCTCGCCGCGTACCAAGCAAAGCCTACCAGCAAAAATCACAAGGTCCTAACCTCTCGTCCAGAAATTTACGAATTGACACCGACACGTGGGAGCGTTCTGAGCGCGCTCGGGGCGCCAGCAGGCGCGGCCGTACCTTGGACGTGGCAGTGATACGCTGGACGAGTGTGTCGATGATGCGCCGCTCGTCGTAGCGGTGCGCCAGGATCAGGCGCAGGAAGGTGCGCACCAGGCCCGGCTGGTCGATGCTGCGCAGGAACAGGTCCAGGTACGCCGTCGCCGTGATGATCTCCTCCACGGAGTTCTGTCCGGAGAGAGATGATGTCACGCAAGAGACGCAAGGATGTGCAGAATCGCGCATCATTCATCGTTTCCGTAGAGTAGTGGTTATCACGCCCGCTTTACAAGCGGCTCGGACCCGCGGAAGGTCCCCAGTTCGAACCCGGGCGGAAACATGCTTTATGACTTGCGGTCTATGACATTCCGCAGGCACGCCCCAGAGGGCGCGTAACCAAACGGTTCGTTCTCTCAGACTCGCTGTTGATTCCTCCAGTCACAAGTGCCCAGCAAAACCGCTCTGAGACCTCGTGTCGCACAACAAACCGTGCATCCATATGGCCTTCGTGGGGCCGTGGGAAGAACGACTCACATAGTAACGCGCTCTCCACACCCTGCTTCGCAGACGGGTGGAAACCGACACCCCATGCCCCACCAACGAGCTCTCGGAACAGATGAACGCGCAACAAAACCGCGATTGCTCAGACGTCAAGGCAGTGGGCAAGACATCGTTAGGAGCAGGTACCAGGAAAAAACACACGCCATCCACGGGCCACAGCACGGTCACGGCCGGGTGACCTCCAGCACGCCTCTCCACACAACTTCTCAGTAGCAGCAGCCCGGCAGCGGCTGGGATGGATCCGTCGGCAGGAGCGCAAATGTACCGCTAGCATGCGACACGACGTCAGGGGCGCACGCATGCTGCCGGCGGCCCCGACAGCGGGGCAGCCAGCCAGGCCGCAGAGCACAGACTGACTGCAGACTGCAGACTGCTGTCCAACAGGTGGGGGCGGGCCTGGCTGAGGGCGCAGCCAGCTGATGCGATGCGACATTCCCTGAGACGGCAGCGCTCGAGCAGGCGCGCCGCCTCGCGCGCCATCGCACATGACGCAGAACGTCTCAACACGATGCACAGAGGTTTCTCCGGGTGCACATCACTACCAGCTGTACACAATTAAACGACACACAAGTGCAAAGCTGCGCTTTTGGTTTACACATCGGGCTTCGTCACTCCATAGACGTCACAAAAATATAACAACTACCGTTAATAGGGTTATTGACTGTAAGCAACTATCACAGAAGGCAACTGAGAGCGAGGCACGGCTTGACGTTAGCTGCAGTGCGCCAGCCGGTTAGGGACACGATCGGCTGTAGCAGCCAGCCACCCTGCGCGGTGCGGCGCCGGCCAGCCCACAGCGGCGGCGAGAGCGAGGGGGCGGTCAAAGAGTGACCCGTGCGGGCCGGACCACAGCGCAGGCGACACAGAGAGACAGACAGACACGGCCGGCGCCGGACTGACCGGGTCAGGGTGGGCCGCGGCGCCCGCCGAGCCCTCCTGTGTGCAGAGACGACCTGACGTCAACAGTGCAGGGGGCGGGGTCCCTCGCCCTTACTGAGGACCAGTGGGAGGCCAGCCGGCACAGCGGCCCTACCGGTGCAGCGGTCTTCAGCGAGAGCGCGACAGACTACCAGTGAACATCACAGTGTGCGAACAACGCACCTGACACCGTTGCTGCTATCGGTGACGCGAGGGCGGGCCGCGCCTGTACGTCACAGCGAGAAGGAGACACAGCACTACAGTCTACGGTGCCCGGTGATTGACAGCACGCCCCATTGGTCCCGTGTCCAGCGAGGCCACAACACCCCGTCCCCAGTGATCGGAACCATGACCGGTGCCCGTGGAGGAAGTGCGACTACTGCGCGTGCGAGGCTGGCCCTGTGCACAGGCTGCCGGCCGCAGCACAATCCGATGTCATCACCTCTCGCCACAGAAAAGCGCGGCCGATCCACGGACACCGGGGGCGGGGCACTGGCGTCCTCCAGTAGCGGCCAGGGCAGCCTGCCAGCCGCGGCCCACAGCCAGCCACCCCCAGTCTCGCTGACCCCCCCCCCCCCCCCCCCCCCCACCGCCCCGGCTGGACGGCTGCCCAGCCGGGGGGCGTACGCCACCGACGCAGTCGGCTCACCTGGTGCAGCGCCGGCCCCATCACCGACACCAGGAAGCCCTGGTACACGTAGTCGAGCAGCTGCTCCCCAATCAGCGGGTGACACACCTGGGGGAGGGGGACGGGGAGGTGGGGCCGCGTCATGCCAGTGCCCGCTGCAGCCGCGGCCGCGCGCGCTGAGCGCCCACGGCGCCGGACACTTTGGTGGAGCCAGCTGATCTTATTGCCAACGGCCCGAGACCGCATTACGGTAGCGTTGTGCAAGTCAATGACCATGCCGCCACGCAACGGTCCGCGGTACCATTGAAAGCACATGGGCGCGACCGCACCGGCCGCAACGCGGTCCCCGACCGCATGAAACGTAGCCTCTAACACGCAACCGGCACGCACCGACGAAATGTACCGACCAGAATATAGCTCCCAATAGCGCTGAGAGTAAAACTGAACAAAAATCACGTCAACTCGTGAAACAGGTAAAACAACATCCGCGAGGAAACCTGGCAGTTTTACGAGTTTGGCCGGGCTAACGCAATAACTATGCAAGCGCGCCCTGCACGGCGACGGCCGCCAACGTACAGGGCGCCACATCAGCCGAGGGAGAGCGTACCTGCAGGACGGCATTGCAGAAGTCCAGGGAGCAGACAAAGCTGTGCAGCTCGGGCACCTGCTTGGAGTCGGAGCTGAGCAGCTGGTACCGGTCCTCAGAGATGACCAGCAGTTTGCGGGGCAGCACCGAGTACAGCCCGCTCAGACCGGTAGCGAGCACCTGGTGGTCAGGTCAGGTTCAGGTCAGACTAGGGGTCTGGCGGAGAGCAGACCGACCTCAGTAGATAGGGGAGGTCACGGCACCGGGCGAGGTCACACAGGTCAGACTGGCGGCTGACAGGCCAGAGTGGACAGGGAAGGTCACGATGCCGGGCGGGGCCACACGGATCAGATTAGCCTCAGTGGACAGGGGAGGTCATGACACCGAGCTGAGGTCACACGGGTCAGACTAGCGGCAGACTGGCCTCAGTGGACAGGGGAGGTCCCAGCACTGAGCGGGGTCACACGGGTCAGACCGGCTTCAGTGAACAGGGGAGGTCCCGGCACCGAGCGGGGTCACACAGGTCAGACTGCCGGCAGACAGCAAAGACGCCTAAGGCGGATCCCAACACAGGACCGAGGCGCCACAGATCAGACTGGGAACGGACGATCTGCGATGAGCTCGGCTTTCGGGCACACCCACCGGGATCGTACACAAGAGCTCTGACATACGTCCCGCGGTGACAGGCATGTTCCGCGCCACTTTGGGACGTCGACGAAAGACGCATGTGACACACACGCACACACGGACCACCGAGGGGCCGCGCCGCACGCACGCGCAGTGCGCTCGCGACGCGCGGACTGATCGGACAGAGAGCAGGCAGGACGCGCAGGCGGCGACTGACCGGACAAAAGTTGGAGTGCTCCACGATGTAGCGCGCCAGCTGCTCGTTGTCGCCGGAGAGCCGCATACAGAGTAGCAGCGCCTCGCGGTCCGTCTGCCCGATCACGCCGTCCCGGTGCACAAAGTCCACCAGCATGGAGAAGATGACGAAGCTGGAGGCGGTGCCGTCCGGCTCCAGGCTGAGGAAGAGGTCGAGCAGGCCCGGCTGCCGGTGGAGCGCGGCGCACAGCTTGGCCCAGCACCAGCACCAGCCGCCGGTGCAGCTCCACCGGCTCCGCCTGCCGGCAGCTCAGCAGCAGCTCCGTCAGCGGCCGCAGCACCGACCGCTGCACCAGCAGCGCGCCGGCGCTCTGGCGCAGCAGCGTCTCGTAGATGCGCAGCTGCTCCAGCCGCAGCAGCTCCTCGAACGCGCCGCAGCGCCGGCTCCAGGCCAGCAGCCGCTCCAGCACGCACTCGCTCAGGAACAGATCGAAGATGCGCAGGCCGCGAGCGGGCGCCGCCGAGGCGTCATCGTCGGCCGCCTTCAGATCCCACAGCAGCAGCGTCACCACCTGGTCCACGTGGTTCAGCACGCAGTTGACGTCGTCGGTGGTGATGGCATCAGCGGTCTGCCGGCGGGAGCGGCGTGAGGCGCGCCCGGGACGGCAAGCCGACACGAGTGTCCGCCGCTTCACGCGGCGTGCCCACTCGTCCACAAGCTCAGCAGAGATACGAACACTGATGGGCTAGGTGCAGGCCGTAGAACGACGGGAAAGGGATGGACAGCACTGCTGTGCTTACTGCACGCGATTCATTGAGTCCTAGCTGCAACTGCACATTACAAGCCGGTGCAAGGTTGTTGTTCACCATCTCCCTTGATAGGAATACAAACGTGTCACGCTATGACGTTCATGTCCGTGAGTAGCACATCGCTTCCCTGAACTGAGCTCACCGTTCAATCGGACCACTTGAACCCCACCAGCGCCCACAGTCCGACTACACACGCAACGCTGATAACCCCTGGCAGTCCTACACCACCCAGCCCCGACCAGCGCGCTCGTACCTGGTGGGCCTGCATCATGTCCCAGGCCTGCTGCCAGTGGATGCGGAAGCTCTCGAAGCACGCGCCAGCGTCGACCTCCTTGTCCTTGAGCGGCGAGGAGCCGCGGAAGCGCGACATGAGCGCCTCGCCGCGCTGCGAGCCCCGCGCCAGCCAGCCGCTCATCGTGGCAGGCGGCTAGCTCCGCTCCATCTGCGGCCGCTAGGCGAGCGCCCAGGTCAGATCCCGGCCGGCCACCGCAGGCCGGTACACAGGCCCACGGCAGGCCGGTACACAGACCCACTGCAGACCGGTACACAGGCCCATAGCGGACCGGTACACAGGCCCACCGCAGGCCGGTACACAGGCTCACCGCAGAGCAGTGCACAAGCCCACCGCAGACGGACACGCAGCCGTCAGCTCCACGGGTGACCGGAAAACGACCAGATATGATTCAACGTGGTGTGCTGCCAGTGGTTTTGCGATCAATTTTCGTCTAAAAAGGGATATAAACATCACAATTTTGCTCGGATCAGACCCAGTTGCGCCATACTACACATAACATCACACCTCGACCAACCACAGCCATGCAATGCTCGCCACCTGAAGATTTAGTTCGGCGGAGGCAAGGTTATGGTTCACATTTTTCGTAATCTATCCACCAAGCAACACAACCGGCCGTATGAACGCGATATTTGGCACTCGGCACGTCTAATGGCAAATCAGCTGCATGTAGGGGTCCTCTGGGGCTGTGTAAACAAACCTCTTCATCCGAAAATCGAGTGACGAGCTTCGTGCATCGGTCAAGCACGGATGCACATCTGGTGTATACCGCGCGGGCGGCCACGGCCGTTAGTGCGCAGTACGCAACGTGCGGCGTCCGTCGGCCAATCAGAGCCCTGCTCGCGCCTCTGCGTGCCATCATCATTTATGACATCACTCCTAACATATACTCTGAATACTGGGTGCAAGATATGGTGTGGCCTCAAACAACCAATAACCAAGCATACTATGAATATAATGCATCGTGATTACTTGCTCTTAAGCTCCTTAACTTGTATTTGAGGCTTTCATACAATTGTGATTGTTATTACATGTGCAAAAGTATTACATACAGCCATTAGAGATAGCTAGGAATCTCTCTCTACATTAGGGCCTAGATATTTCATTTCAGAACACCAAATAATGATAAAACATTTCCTTCATGACAGCATCACCAGCATAAAGTAACAAGTTTTGCAATGGAAAAATATAAAAATGAACATCATGTGAACTACAGACATCACATAACTAAACATAATATGGTCTTTATTACTCCAATGGTGTATTCAATCCAATATTAGAGTATCATCACAACTTGGAACATGGAAAATGTACAGCCACCCGATCTGTGGTCACATGTTTCAGGCTAAAAAATACATTCAAAACATGTCAAGCAATTTACTTGTAGGCTACACCACTAACACCAGTGCGCTCAAGCTGATTTAGAATCTGAGTAAAATACAGGATCACTGAAAATTTTGGCAAATCCATCTTCATCTGAATCCACTGCTTTTTCGCTGCATGAACTGAACTGGTTAAATTTAGATTGACTAGGCTGGAGTCAGCATCCATTTAGGGGATCAATCAGGAGTACTGAGTTTTTGGCAGTTCTCAAAATTAGTCAGGACTAATTGCACAAGTGATATGACTATCACCAACAGCAGATCATCCTGCAGAGTAGCAAAACCTCTCATATATTTTACACAGATTATCTTAATATACATTTACAAGGCATTACTCAACAAGGAACACACAAATGATAGATAAATGTGCCAGAATATTTTGTGAACCATTCATTCATCTCAACTTATGAGACAAGTATGTCATGTTTAAAATTATGAGCATAATTTCCTTATGCACTTCCATGTATTAAATCATGAACTCATTTGCCATATGCAATAACAGATGCCACATCTTTTTGATCAATTATACTTAGGACCAGCATTTGTATCTATTCAAAAACCTATTTCAGGTGGGCAGTGGATTCATTGCTTGTGAATACCTTTAAAAATTTGGCTAGGTGCTTCAGGTTCTTCTCCTATTAGCATGCACTTTGATCCCTGTTATCCTGTTCTAATTTTGGATTCAACAATGCTTTGATGGAGCCAGCACAAGTATAAATTTGCTATATCACATGGACTAAAGTGATGTTAGCTTGGATAACCGCTTCAGTGGATTTAAGACAGTGTTTAGCTCCAAGTTCATGTGAGGTCACAATCAGTTTAATCCACATAACACACAGCCCAGCATACATATGACTGTGGTGATAGGATTATGGCTGTTACCAGGAGGCCACACAAGGCCCCACCAAGTCATGGCCCTTTCCCACAAGCAGCACTAGTGACACCTCTGCTTACTGTTGTGAAATAAACTGACAAACCTGTGACAAAAGAAAACATTACTGGTGAAACTTCTGGGCTAACTCATTAAATTAAAATTGCCTGTTCCTGGCATATATCCACAAAATATAAAATATCCACATGACAGCGCACAAAAAAGCACCAAAATTTCACCTGATTGTATCACCTTCTCAGCATGGAATCTCTAAACAGATCAGACTAAGATGCTATTTATGCTTGTGAGCAGGTATATTGGCTGGGTTTTTCTTGAACCATAGGAAAATTTGTGCAACCAAGTGGCCCACATACTAATATGTTGTCATGAACTCTGCATGCTAAGAGCATAAACTACTAATCAAACTTTCAGTGTTCAGGAAGAGCAACCTTTTAAACTGTGCTGCAAGTGCCAAGGCATTTGCATGCAGGTTGTTAGGTCATGCATAAATTCCTGCAACATGTTAATCTGAAAAACTTGCTGGGTTCACATCAGAAATATGAAATCTGTTACCCATCAAAACACAGCAATGTAGATCAGAAATGATCCCAACTTTGAAAGTCTAGTAACATGGTTTAAAAATGACACAATTTGACTCAGAAAACAGCAGAGAACTGTACTCTCTTAATGCCAGCTGAAATGTACAGAGTCACGTATGTGCAATGGCCGGTTTTCTGCATTTCAAAAGCTTGCCAGACTAAGTGGAGGACTGTAGAGGATAATTGAGCATGAGTCAGACCTGACAGAGGCAAGAACCCCTAATATTTTGCTCTGGCCAGCATGCAGCAACATAAGGTAAGTTAGACAAGATCTAGAAAAGAAACTAACTACATGGTTATTTTTGCTGCATGCACTGGAAGCACAAATAATTTAAGATCTAAGAGTTTGGGATCAAAAGCATGCCACACATGAATGCATGGTAAGCCAATTGACCAGCCAATTTTCAAGCAGTGCACTTTGAAAGATGGCATGTAAATGGTACATCAGCAATACACTGCCTCCAAGTACTATGGTATTAATTCAAGCAAAATTATGTGCCATATTCCCGCAGCCTCTTGGAGTAGAGCATCAAAATGAATCATTCAGTATGCTCACTGTGACAACTTGTTGTGACTGCCATCAAAGTGTTGCTAACAGCAACACATCCAAGCCCTGTTCACTGGCAAGTTCCTGGTCAGGTAGAATCATGACCTTAGTTGGACTCACAAATAATTCTACCACACTTATTGCTAGTCATGCTCCACAGCTTACACTAATAAAACATTGGTACCTTGTACAAGTATAACTTAAAATCACTGGTATTACCGCCCAAACCCTTTTGCGGATGTCTAAATTTTAATTCATCTCCAGCCAGCAGGTACGCCGCGGCTCATTGCCTTTCAGTGGGAAACGTGGATGGGCTATCCAGCCCTTCACACTCGACGTTTCGCTCCACTTGAGAGCGACATACGCATTATCAACAGATGACGTCTGCAACACGAATATCCAATGTCCGGCCCCCTCCGCGAACATGCATGAAATTCACACCCACACACACCACTCACCCCCATATTAATCACCCACAGGGGATGCCGTGCATCAGCTTCGCGCAGCCTTGGGCTTTGCCAAAGTCGAGTTTTCACTCACTCTGTACAAGACGATGACGTCAATGGTGCCGGGACTTCAACGCTGCGCGCCACGAGCTGGGCCCCGTGACGCTGCGGGACAGCCGGAACATCGAAAATTGTCGTAAGTTAATGAATAAACTGTTAGGGGAAGATCCATATAGCCAATGAGCCGACTAAGGATGATTTAATCGCGAGAATGATGGTATACTTTACAAGCTTGTGCCATTAGCCATTAAAGTGCAATGGCATAATAAGTGAAAACGTACACAGGAGACTTGCATCATATAGGACGACCGGAGCATCGGGCTCTTTTCAGGGGCGGATCCAAAGGTGGGGCCACGGAGCTACGTCCCCCCCCCCTCGGGGCCGAATGGGGCCATAGGCTCAAAAGAAGCCCACAGCCGGCCGAACAGACGCAGCTTTCTAACACAAAACGCAACAGAATTGCACGCTTTTAGGTGAAATTGGAACTTGAAAATTGAAAGTAAACGCCTTAACTGATTGAGAGGGTAGTTATTGAGAGATTTTAGAGCTCGTTACACTATTAAGAGGCTCTGCGCTGTTCATGGGGCCCTACATGTCTATTTGCACGGGTAGATATAATCACTAAGAGGGCTTCAACGTCGCCTTGACTTCTTGAAATTTGGTGGCATGCCGGGGCACTCTTGTCGATCAGGGGCCTTCCACGAAATCTTTCCCATACGCTCCAAAGGCTCTATACGCTATAGCCGGGGCCACAGATATTAAAGTACCGGGGCATTCTAGGCTTCTCAGGGATCCTTCATGTTGGTTTCGGCTAACCAACCGACACACTCGTGATATATTCATCTGCCCTCTGCATTCGTCTAGCGCCCTTCCAATTGTCTGTCACTGCGCTTTTGGGGCTCTACGACTTTGTCGCGATTCCATCTGTTTGCCTGCTCTAGCACGCTTGGTCACTCGGGGGTCCTCCTTATTGTGCCTTGGGCACTTATTTCATTAAAGGCCCCGCGCATTTGTCAGGGGCCCCATTTGTTAACCTCAGCTCGGACACACTTGTGCGCTCGGGTGTCCTCCATATTGGGGCTCGGCTTCTTCTAATTCCTTTGGAGGGCTCTACGTTCTTGTCATGGGCCCCACTTATTAAGCATTCTGGGTCCCACCGTTCTCAGTCTTTGGCACTTCCTATTGGCTTTTCATGGCACTACGCTTTTGACGGGGCATCAACTGTAACCCTCACCTCGGGCATGCTTCATCATGCCCTGTGCACAGGGTCTGATCATGAAGATGATCATGATCATGATCATGATCAATGATCATGAAGCGCCTAAGACCCTGTGCACAGGGTCTTAGGCGCTTCATATTTGAATGTGGGGTCCTACCATACAGTAGCGCAGGAGGAGAGGGGGGGGGGCACAGTGGGCACGTGCCCCCCCCCCCCCCGAGGTCGGGACCTATAATTAAGGGCTCGAAGGGCTGACCAAATGTCGCATTCAGGGGTACCGGCTCACAGGACCGAGCATTTCAATGCCATTCATAGGGCCCTGTGCGCTGATCAGTGCCCCCTGAGCCGATAAGAGCCTATATGTCGATCAAACGTGACCAATTATGTGCAGTCGGCTCCGTGTCGGCATGGGCCCAAACGCCCATTCTGCAAGCAAGGACAAAGCAGGAGTCAGCGATTTACATTTTTCGGGACCCCAGCGTCTATCAGGGGCCCAACAGCGCCCAACAGAAGGCCCTGTGTTTGAAAGGGGTCCGAGGCGGCCAGAGATAGTGTTCAAGGAGGCCCGAAAGAAACTGGAGGGTCCACCGGGACCGACAATTAAGTGCCCGATGGGATGTCTTAGGCCACGAAGTGCTGGTCAGGTCTTATTCAGTGGCTGCCAGCCTGTAGTGTCAAATGACAATCAGAGGGCCCTTTGCGTCGATCGGGGACCTCCTGAGTCGATATGGGCCTATATATCGGTCAGGCACCACCAGTACCGCACAGTCAGATTCGTGTCGACTTGGGGTTGAAGGCCCAGTTCCCAATCACCTTCAAAGCCAGGCCAGCGATTTACACCAGGTCGGTGCCCCTGTGTCTGTCAGGGGCTCGCAGTGCCTAGCAAAGGGTCCTGTGTTCGCAAGGGGCCCCGAGTCGACCAAGCGCAGTGTTCGATGAGGCCTGAAGGGGGGGGGGGGGGGCGCCGCCCAGCGGAACCGACGATCAAGGGCTCAGTTTGAGGGTATAGGGGCCTGAAGGACTCGCTGTGGGTCACATAAAGAAGTTCCGCCAGTAGGGTCGCGACCTAAAATATCAGCCAGAGGCCCTCTTGCACCGTATGAGAACCCCCTGAGACAATGCGGGTGTCACGGTCGGCCAGAGACCACTAGCACCAAACAGTTGACTCCCTGTTGGTCTGAACCTTGGGGCCCATTTCCCAAGCAAGTGCAAGGCCGGGGACCAAGACTTGCATTGGCTTGGGTCCCTGGAACAATGTTTTGGGGCCCGTGTCGGTCAGTGTCCCACAGGGCCTAACAGGGAGTCATGTGTCGGCTAGTGACCCCGACTCGGTCACAGGCTTTGTGCGAGGAGGCCCCAAGAGGGGGCGAAGGGCTCCTCAGGACCAATGATCAGGGGCTCGATTGGAAGGCTGAACGACCCGAAGGGCACGTTGTAGGTCACATTTAGTACCTCCGCCCATGAGGCCGTAATCTTAAATGTTGTTTAGGGGGTGTCTTGCACCGACTGAAGTCCCTGAGCAAGAGCGCTTCTCTATTTCGGCCAGAGATCATCAGCACCGAAAAGTCGGCTCCCTGTTGGTCTGAGCTCTTGGGGCCTATTTCTCAAGCAAGGACAACGCCACAATTTGGGTTGGTCTGGGCCCCTGCAACAATGCAAGGTTCCTATATCGGTCAGGGGTCAGTGCCTAAAAGGGCGCTTATTTTGTCAGCAAGGGGCTTCAAGTCGGTTAGGGGAGCATTTGCTCAAAACAGACGGGGACGGACCCCGAATGAGAGAGGACTTCCTACGTTGGTTGGGGCCCCCTGGCAATGAAAGGAAACATTGTAACTTATGATGAGTGCTCACATTGAGACAACGGCGGGGTCCCGTGTCAGTCAGGGCCCCAACGCCGGACGGTGGACTTTCCAATTCAATTCCAGCAAGAGCCCAATAAGCCAAACTGGAGTCTATGCGCCAATTATTGGACCACCTGCGGCGATCAGGGATGCTTTGCGACAATGAGAGTTCCTGCATCGATCCAGGGCTAATTGCGCGGGTCGGAAGGCCTTCCGCGTCAGGAGGGGACCAATGTCATATGATGTACCCTCTAAGGGCCTTCGGATCGACCAGGGGATCCCGCCCGTGTCGCCAGGATGACAACCAGAAGACACCCCGTATTGGAACGGAATGACCCGTCAGCTCCCGGCCGCCGGCCATGTGCCCGGTAATGTTTTACTCCCGGACCCCCTTGCCCGCAAAGAAGCAATGGGTCTTGTAATAGTTGAAAACAGTGGGTGTAAATCAGTTTAAAAACGAACCAGGCCATCCTATGTTTGCCTGATGGCAGTTCATTTGTCTACAGAATCAGTCAGTGAAACAAAATACATCAAAAGGCTTGAGCCTACGCGCCCGAAAACTCGGGAGCAAGGACAGCAATGGGCTGGGTTCCAGTTTCCGTAAAACCGAACGGCGCTGGCTACTGCAAGTAATGCCACGTCGCAAGATGCCCCATGCCCCACGCAAGAACGACCGGCGTGAAATAATGGTTCGGAACATCTTTCAAAATTTATTCTCACCTTTCAAAGATAAGACTGTGCGTATCTTTTTCATAACTTTGCGGTTGTCCCCTAGACAGATAAAGAGTTACAGCAACACGAAAAATAGACATTCTACCTTAACTCTTCCCGCTGCACCACCGGATTCCAGCAAGCACCACCTCGCGTTGCTAGCAAATGCTAATCGATCTAAAAATCGCACCGATGAGTATACGCTCGGCATTCCTTCTAAATGCACGATGTAGTGTCTTAAAGCGTTCAAAGGTACTTTTTTCGGATAAGCCATCATTTTCGTCCATTATTTGGCCACGGCTTGGTGTTAGCCACGGGGCGGACGCTGCGCGGCCTACGGAGACTGCAACACTTGGCGCCGAGGGGTTTTGTTGGTAAGATTTGCTACGCACCTTTTTATCTCACTAATCGATCCTGACTGAATGTTGAACATTCCCAAACGGATATGGCTTGGCCAATTAAATACAAAGTGTTCACTGATTTTGATCTCTTATCTATATTCGCGGGTCCGTAATCTCACTGTAGAGCTCAAATATAAATTATGACTAGGCTTATTATGACTAAGCTTCCGAGCTTTATCGGTTTAGAAAGAGTTTACGGAACCATTGCGAAATGCAGAGCGCCGGAGATTTGTTTCATGCAATCGCTTAACGTACGATTTCTTCAGTTTATCGACTGCAAAATTCAATCAGAATATATCTCGTGGTAGCTGCTCGCTCCCATTCCAGTTAAAAATACTTTCAGGTCAAGATGTTGAGGACGTTATTTTATGCACTAAAGAAGATTATAATGTCTAATACCCAGAACTCTGCTGGTATTTTTTGGCCAATGTTGAATGTCTAACCATTTGGCCTGAACCAACGACCGGCTCAAACGTTCCACAGCTCCGTTACTCTGCAGCCTGTAAGGCGTAGAGAGCATGTGACGTATGCCCCACTTGTCAAGGACGTCTTGAAATTATTGGCCAATGAACTCACCGCCGTTGTTTGCCAGAATGTGCGTTGGTCTGTGCACCATGACAGACAGCATCTCGTGTTCAAAGGCTTTGAAGAAAGCAGCGGAAGTATTCTTCCTCAGTGGTGCTGCGGCCACCTGCTTGGAGCGATGGTCAACAGCAAGACAGCCGATGAAGCCGCGCGGAGTCCGCGGAAAAAGAAGCGCGTGAGCAGCTGCCAACTTGAACGGCGTGCTCGTCTCCATG